TGTGTGTGTGTGTGTGTGTGTGTGTGAAGAGAGAGAGAGAGAAAGAGAGAGATGGGGGCTTCATTCACACCAACCTCTCTCTTCTTGAATTCCAAGTCCACTGGTGTCTGCACCACACACTTTCTCTGTCTTGGATTTCACACCTGCCTAGTGAAACTGTCTTCAAAGAGACACTTTGTGGTCTCAGGGCACAGAGTAGATCCCTTGAGAGCAGTGACATTTGGGCTGCCCCTCCATGCTTACCTGTTACCCAAACAAGAAACACCTCTTTGCCTCCCCTGTACCCATCTATCCCCGACTGCATCTTGTAGCAAAGAAGCTTCTCTATCTGTTCTGTGTAAGACTTTTACAACATGGTGCCAACCGTTTATTTTCAGTCATGGCCAGCCGCCTGCTTGGGCCTTCAGTGGAGCCCTACCTGCTGCCCGAATTGACCAGATACGACTGTGAGGTGAACGTTCCTGTGCCCGGAAGCTCCACGCTCCTGCAAGGGAGGGACCTGCTCAGGGCCTTGGACCAGTCCACCTGAGCCAGGGCCCCTGGGCAGGCCCCCACCACGCCGCCCACCAGCTTCACTCTCAAGTCTATTTTTACAACTCGATATTTCTAACACCAATACAATTTTTACAAGATGTACTTAACCTGGCAGACTCGTCCAGGTCACTGAGTGGTGACCTTTTTCTGAAGATGCTCACTTTATTACTCATATTTTTAAAATACACAGTTGTTTTACCAGCGACATTTTGCTCTGTCCATGAAAATGTTCGCAAGTTTTATAAGATTTTTATCTCCCCATCTCCAATTACTTCTAATTTATATTATTTGTAAGTGTCCCCCACTTCCCACACCATCCGTACTAACAAGTTTGGGGTACATTTGTTCTCCTGTTGCGAAAGCTTTGGCTTCATTTAACTCTAAAGATTCTGACCTTGTTGTTGCCAAAGACAAAGAGAACACGAGCTGCCTTCCAAGCTTGCTCTGTGGCCTTTCCCTCTCAAAGCCTTTGTCCTTTCTGGTTAAAAATGAAATACCATAATGTAGATTGCATACCTTTTTAAGTAAACTCTTTGCTCTAATTTTGATATCAACTTTTGAGAGAGAAAGAAGAGAAAGAAACACGGAGGGTAAAGTCCAACGTACGTGGTTTGTGTTTTGATGTGGTTTGATGTTTTCTCTCATCTGGTGGATATTTTTTTAAACTATTCAAAAGCATAACTGAGGGTTGATATTATTCTTGTTGTTTTTTAAAAAAATTTATAACTGGGTTAAGTGTTTATCAAATATATGGGTACTTTGTAATATCTAAAAACTTAGAAATGGAATCCTGCTCACAAAATCACTTTAAGACCTTGTAAGCTCTTAGTTGTATTGTTCCAGGTATGGCTGCTGGCGCTGTGGAATTGTACAGTATCCCAGGAGCCTGTACTAACACTGCTCAAGATCTTTCTCCTGTTTGCTTTTTTGTTTCTGTGATGTCATAGGCGTGAAAACAGTCCAAGAAGTGGAATCATTACGTGGGAGCGTTGCTCGTTGTGTTCTTCTCATGTCCTTTATGTATTATGTATGTATGTATGTATTATTATTATTATTGCTGCCTAGAGAGTCTGACAGCACATCAGGGGTCGGGAGTGGGTTAGAAGAGAATGCTAAGGGGAGGGAAGTGCTTTAACTTTTCTTAAGGACTTGTTGCTAGCCCTTCAAGTGCACGCTAATGGTTATCTTTCACATGGCATATTTGGATTATGTCCAGAATAAATTTATTTAGATGGGAATTCATGAAAGAAACTGAGGCTTCAGAAATGTTGTGGTGCTCAAGTCCACATCTTCCTGGCATACCATTTTGAACGACAAGGCCTAAACTGAGAGAAGGTGCAGAGAAGGATGGTAGCTGGTTCTGGCCTGCCTTATGCTGCTGCACTTCCTCAGCCTTCATATTGCCCTGAGTCCAGAGGCAAACACCCCCCGTTGGTGGTGAAGGGAGGCTCAGCTTGGGGTCTCCAGCTCAAGCCTTCTTTTCAGGTCTCTATCGCTTGAAATAGAGAGCTCTGGTGGCCTAGTAAGTAAGAAGTTTTGCAGCCAGCACCAAGGCAGGCAGTTCAAATACACCAACTGCTCCACTACAGCCTCTGAAAACCCACGGGAGGGTCAGCTATGAGTCATTTCCAACTAGACGGCAATGAGAGAGATCACTTGAAGTGACAGACATAGGTAGGAAGCACTGAAAATAGGGTGCTCTCAGAGCACTTTGTAACTCCTTGGGGAAGAAAGAGAATGGTGGGGTTTTTTTTAAATTTTTAAATACCAATCACTTGGGAAACATGCACACAAAAAACACAGCAGGATAAGAATTGTATAAGCCCAGATGGATGAATGTATCTTAAAAACATATATTAAAAGGAATCTGAGTCCAGTGAAGAAAAGCACCTAATCCTTGGGTGGTCTAAACCATCGTTTTACCACCACAGCTTTGCCAGACACATGGCAGTAGAACTTGAAGGGTTACTGACACGTAGACACTGGGGTTTAATTTCCCGTGTGTGTTGCTTCAGCATTAAGGGCATTTACCCTTGCAGTTTTACTAAAACATTCTGAAAATATTCCAAACTTCCTATTAACTTACCTGTCAACATAATGACTTTATGAATATTATTATATTGTTGAATTCCTACTGACAATATTATAACTATATGGGAGCTTAACTTTATAAGGAAATGTATTTTGACACTGATATCTTATTAAAATATTCTTGATCCTACTTCTGCTCGTGGCATTTGTGTCCTGTGGATTTATCATGGTTTATATCTGTGTGACATGAAAGCTTTAGTAAATAATCTACAGAATATGCTTTGGCGCTATGGGACAGCTGAGGCTAACAGAGACTAGTAAAATGTTATGAACATTTGACAATTGCCTTTAACCAAGAAACAGTTGTCTATCTTGCACATTTCTGTGGGCACATACCTGTTTTTTATATCTTATTGGGGAGCCCAAGATACATGGGGAAATCACAGTTCCTATCTTCTGAAAAAAATTCATGAAATAGCCATACCCAGTGCATGGCATGGACATTATGTGTTCCCTCTTTACATACAATTTCCCTGCTTATGTACAGGCTGCTCCATGGTGGGATTCAAGAGAGGGAGAGGGGAAAGAGGGAGGGCCAGCCAGCAGGAGCTCTGCTCCGCCCCCCCCCCACCATGCACCTTGGTGGTTCAGTCCAAGTCAGGTGTTCGGCATGTGTTACCTTGTGACCTTACTTAAACTCTCTTGTGAACAGGGATTATTTCATTTTACAGATTAAACAGAACTATTTTGAGTGGCAGGTATGTTGTTGTTGTTGTTATGTGCCGTCGAGTCGCCTGCGACTCATAACGACCCTATGTACAACAGCCCTAAACTCC